CCTCCTGACTCAACAAATGTCCGTAGGCGACTAAACCAAAGTGTTCCTAAATGGTGTAGGACCCACTTTACTGAACCCAACCGATCGGACCACCCTTCACCTCTCTTTTGAGGCTACAGTGAACCAGTCTCGATACTTATTGAATGAACCCTGTAGGCTTGAAACATTAAATTTAAGAACTAAACAATATCAAATGTATGAATTCATCAAAGATTAGCCTACTAGCAAAATCAGAGAAGGATTCATCACACCAGACCAAAGTTCAAATATTACAATTGCCTATAAAGAGAAATATTAAAACATTTGTTTTCACATTTTTAAAACTAAATCAGTAATAAATAGTTATAACTATTCAGATACCTAATAATAGGTATAACATTATAATAATAACATTAATAGGTACTGAAATAATAATAATACACTTAAAAGCACCAAAACTCAGTCCCAGGTCATTAAAAAAATGTGAACCAACAACTGAGTATAGCATTATCCCTTCTTAAAGAAAACTGTAATCTACTGAAAAGCATAATTTAAAATTAACAAAATCGTTCTGTTCACATGGTTTCCATCCGATTTTGTAACATATCAATAATAGATATCAATTTGGCTATATTTCTTATGTAAAGCCGGCTCCAGACATCCGCCATTCACGAAGCACCGAGCAGCGACTCGCCGAATCGCGAGTAGTGTGGATAGGTGTTTGCCTATTTGTCAAATAGCAAATGCTCGTGCTATTGTTTTCCCGTTCATTGTCGGCATTTTTGCACACATTAAAGTGAACGGATATTTGCTATTTGAGAAATGAACACTTGCTTGGAAAACAACACATGGGTGTAGACGTCTACTCGTTAATCGGCGAATAGCAAGACAATTAGATCGCCGAACATAAAATTCGAGCTTGGCGATTGGCGCTTGTTTGGAGCCAGCTTAAGAATCTTAAAAACTCAGATAGCCTAATACTTCTTAAATGTGATAACACAGTCATCTTTACATTCGATACATTTAAAGGTATATTGTAAGGAACCTTTTTGAAAAGGAATAGAGTTCAGTTAGCTAACCTGAGAAAATTAAGAGTTCAGGGGCTAATAGATAAACAATAAAAGAACACAAAACAAAACAATGACATTTCATCCTGATGTAGGAATTCTTCATTTGTCTTCAATCAACTAACTAAAGAAGTCCTACAACAGGACTATGAACCCTAATTTTCTCAGGTAAAGCTAGCTAAGCTCTAATCATATGAAAAATCCTTTACGTTGTTGGACAATCCCTTGTCATGTGCCAGTTGAAGCTAAGGGAAAATGTTAAAAACAGTTTAATTCAGCCACTGAAAAAGTGTGCTGCCTAAAAATTCTCTTTCTTATACTCCAATTTCCTAAACAAGCCAAACTAAGTGGATCGCTTCATAGGATATTTTATGTTTTCATAAACTATAAAAAAATTCAAAACTAAAACATTGCGAGGGGCTCGCTTAACATTCTCTCAGAGCAATTATAGGTCTAGATAGGATTTCAATTCAGTATCCAAACAATGTGATGATTTATGAATATGAGTGATGATGTCTAACACCACAATAATCAAACTCATACAATTCACATTTACTTCAAGTTCAACTATCTAATTTCAAGTGTTCTTGTAATCCATTGTTTTGTAAAAAAAAAAATGTAATAATCAAAATAGTTTCCCAATAAAATAAACACACTTTTGACGTTGATCGAACTTATTGCCAGCCTTTCTTAGTCTTTGACAATATTACAATCTAAAAGAAAACGTTTATCTCGTAAAATCGGTAAAACATTAAAATCACACTTAATTTTCCAACTTTAAGAGAAAGATTGAAATATTCACTACACTTTTCACATTATTAGTTAGTTTATTCTATTATGCAATAATGGTAAATTCCTCAATCCAGTAGTGTCTCCCCTTAATCGTCATCAGCTGACTCTTCATTGGTTTGTTCTTGTTCCGGTTCATGGTCTGATTGCTGTTCTTTTTCGTCTGATTCCTGTTCTTTTTCATCATATTCCTGTTCTTTTTCATCTGGTTCTTTTTCATCTGGTTCTTTCTCATCTGGTTCTTTCTCATCCAAATCTTCCCTGGAACAAACCAGAAAAAATAAAGTCGGATCATTTTCTTGGGGGAGACACTACAGGAATTTTTCTTCATTGTCCACACAAATATCTTCTCTAAAACTGACAAAAACAAGAATCTTCACACCACTTATTTTTTTTAGGATTCGCTTTTCAAGCGAGGTTGACATTATCTGAGGATCTTCACATCTCACTCTTTTCATCGGTCTTGTGCATAAGTTAAAATCTGCATTGCGTTCTTCTTTCTAGTAGGCTATATCTTCCACCATGAGTTTCTGCATTTTTCAATAATGTTCAAAACTGTTATCCATTTCAGGTTTCTTCTAACTGATTTTTCCAGTTCACTTGTTTTTGTTTTTATTTAGTTCACGTAGTAGCGATGTTGGTTATATAATCTCATACCAAGTTTTCTTCTGTATAATTCCTCCATTCGACAGGGAATTAGTAAAATATTCTGCTCATACCACAAGAAAATAGTGATACAAGTTGAGATGGATGGAGTTGTATTTTTCGGAGGGGAAATGTTTTCCGATGCAAAAAGGAACTTTTATAACACATTTTATAACACAAGGATCAATTGACGCAACAGGTAAATTAAACCTTTTATATTTTGCATTATCTTGCTCCAGAGGCTAACCCATCATGAAAAAGGAACTCTTAGACTTGCTTTAAAAAAATCTTGAGTAACAAAACAAATTTAGCAAATGGCAATCAAGACGAGCAAAATCAATGTTTAGTCTTCATTGGACAGTTAAACTTACTATGATTAACAGGTGAGATGGGGACGCCACCTAGTTGGGTATTTTAATCCAAATATGAGTAAAGGATGAGTGATAAATGAAGTTAGATGCCTTGTGTAGCTTTGTTACTGACCAAGACCAGCTGTTTCATTAGCCAGGCTTATTTAATAAAAGCCTGATTGATCAAGGACAGCTGGGGTCCAGTTTCGAACCACCAAAAGGCTACTAACTTGTCATCATGTCTGTTATCCATCATCATTATCATCATCATCTTTGTCATCACCCACTAAAGTGGTAAAATCTTTTACACCTTCTACAATAGGGACAACATCACTGTCACAAATCGTGTCCCGAAAAAATCTTGAATTAAATGTAATCCAGCCGACAATCAGAAATATGTTTTCCTCAAACTTTTATTGAGATTTCGGGACCTGTCCATCCCTAGATGTAAAACATTGTGGCAAAGCCAATGTCAAATTCCTCTCTTCCTCATATGCACAAACTGGTTCAGACTATAAAATTGGCCAACATCAATGTTCTTCTGAGAACTTTTGGTTTCCACACTTCACAGCTAGGCCAAGGCCAAGCTTAGAGATTTGGGCCTTTTGAGGTGAGTTTTCAGAACATTAGTCATTTAAGTGGGAAAATTTAATATGATCTTTCATTTTAGATTTTAGATCTTTCATTTTCACAGCTAGATCCCCTTGCCTTAGTAGTTCTTACTGTGTTAGTAAGACATGTGTTGTGTATGATACGTAGCTTTGTTGGTAAACCCAACCTGATTCTTGAGTCAAGATCATCAAAAGCTTCTGCGGTCAAAGACATTTGAGATCAGTTTATAGCCATCGCAGCTTAAAAAAATTAAAAATCCTTAGGATAAACAAGGGGACTACTTAATAAGAAACAAGCACCTTAACCACCTAACTACCCAGACTTAGTAGGCTAAGTTGTTAAGTTACTCATGCATACCTCGTTTTTTCTGTTGTACCACTAAAGTACTAACAAAAGTATACTAATCAATTGTACAGTTTCTGCAATATAGCATTAGCGTATACACAGTCAAACAGCATTGGACGGATCACTGGTTACCGAAAAGTCACTCTTACAACCAGTTTAGAGCCAAATTAATTAGTTGAAAGTAGTTCAAGTCAAAGGTCATGTGAATTAGGATGGTGTGTAAGGAGGTATGAGGGGAAACCCCCCAACAACACCAAGAGTCACACCACAATAGTGATTTCAAATTAATCCAAGGGCAATTGATTATTGAGGTGACTGAACAAAGCGACTGTGGTGGGGGAAGGGTTCTTGTGGCATGCACATCCACTCTAACTGGCACGATCTATGTAAACATTAAATTAAAAGAGTAATCTGTAAGAAAACTTACAAATAAAAACTGTAGCTAAGTAAGAGATATCTATTGATTTTACTCCTAATTTTACTTTTTCAAATCTGATTGTCAAAGCTAAAATTCTTAATATTTGAAAACCTTGAACATCGATTAAGACTGTTGTTAAAAGGGTCATTAACCCTAGATCTGGCGGTCATTTTATTCACCAGTGGCGGGTATATATTGGCCCTTTTGTAGTGGTACCATATATTTTGCCACAGAACATTTATTTGTGAATTTTTAAATATCATAAAAGTGTAAAAAAGTACCATTACAAAAAACACATTGGTTAATACAGGACATTCCGTCCATAAACTTAGGTGTCTCGACTTGTTTTGTTTGGCCAGCCCTGCGATCATGTTCCTCAATGTAGTTTTAATTTGAATATCCTTTAATTAATGTATAAAATGTATGTTGTGATGATATGTACAATGTATGTACTTATGATGATTTGAACAGCTTTATGACATTTTAAAATAAAGCTACGATGGTCCAAAACTAATCATCTAATAACAGATTGCAGTGGGTTTATCACAAAAAAGGTAAATAATTTATATTATGGTCAAATCCAGAGGCCAAATTGGATCAGAAGGCTAAACCCTGCTGAAAATAGAGCAATAAAGCTCCAAAAGTATTCATATATGATAGACAATGGGATTTTGTATGTAATTTTGTCATTGCAGTAATCTTCTGAAATAAAAACTACTGTAACAGTTAGATAGCAACTAGCAAGTTTTGGAATAGGATTTCAAAATACACAAAAAAAATCATGCAGTTACTCACAGCTTTATCTGGTTTCTGTGGAATTCTACTATGTGCTCCTTCCGCGTTTGTTGCTTAAAGATCACAGTCACCGGGAAATAGTTGTCTTTATTGTTAAGTGTCCAACCGGAATACTGAAAAAACAAGATGCAATTCTTAGATTTTATATTATAGTACAAGGCTTTACTACAGAGAAGTAAGATACAGAGGATACAAGCTTATGGGACAACCGTGCGCTTTTAGCTCTGGTATGTTGCGTCGGAAATTTACTTGTAATAAGCCAGGAAGAGCCCAAACGCAAATGACCAGATAGAATTGTTGTACACCAATTTTAGCGCACAGGATCTTCTGGTGTGAGCGCTGTAGTATGTGATGGCGAGGGGGGAAAGTAGGGCGGAAGGGGACAACAAATATAATTTTCTCTGTACACCAGCGACTGGCGCCAGACCCCACTTAAGTATACCATTGAATGTATCCTCTGTTTCTTTCTTCCCTATGTAAATTTGAGTGTGGTTGGTTTTATGAGTAGGCTTTGCTTGTTTTGCGGGCATAACTTTATTGCCCTTCTGGAATTTACATCAAAACTTCATAAGATAAAATAACTTTTGTTTTCAGGTTAGATGAAATTATACACATTTTGTCAGAAGTAAAGTAAAATTGCCACTGATTCCCACAAGCTTCAATTCTTTAACATAACATCATTTTGATCAAGTACGCAATTTCTTTCTAGACTTTTTGTGGAACTGAAAGACGGACCCCTTAAGATGTTTAAAAAATTTGAAACTGTTTTAATAGATACTCCATCATAAAACTTTCATACAAATCTGTAAATATATATTAATATTAATAATAATATTAAGTTCAGTACCTAATATATATTAATGAAAGGCTGCTAAATTACTTATCTTAAACTGTTTAGTTTTATTTCAGGTTAAATCATGTGATGCTATTTGATGTATACAGTTCGATGTAATCTTAAGAAATAAGACATTGGAACAAATCAATTTACTGACAGAATACCGGTAGTTCAAATACCATGTATATTGGCAACTAATACAAGCTTCATGAGAAAATGTTGACAATCATTTTTAGTTCAGATTTATCTTTATCTCTTCAGTCTTATGACTTACCACTGAAGTATTTTTATAGTATGTCTTGCCCTCTTGCTGGAAAGGGATGTATTTCTGCAGGAGAGCTTTGCCGTCAATCTTCCACAGAGGAGGGTCCTGTTCTAGATTCGCAGCGTCCGTCTTCAGGATCACAAAAGCACCAGACTGCAAAAGTCACAACATTAAAACTAATTTGGCTTGTAGGGCTGAAAGCCCCTTAAACTCACATATAAACCAAATTAGTTTAATATTATAAACCAAATCTTTTTCAAGAGAAAATCCAAATCCTGGTCTTGTTGCTACGATCGACATTAACTAGCCCAAAATCCATAAGACTAAGATTTTCTTTTTAACTAACAGTTGTTTGAATTCAGCGTGGTTCAAGTTATAGAGATAGTTCTTGATGAAACTTACTTAGTTAAAATAAATTGAGTAGGCCTATTATTCTTCTTTGCTTTTGACCGTTAAAAATGTGTTTGGCAATCACCTTTGTTGCTTATATTGTTGCTTATTTGTTATGCTTATATTAAATGTTGACGGATGCCATGCAGTTGTTAAATTTGTTTCACGGTAATAAAGATAATATTATTATTACCTAGAAGTCTTTCTATGGTGATCATTAATCAACCATTTTATAAAAGTGAAATTTTATTACCATAGTAAATTATTGGTTGGACCAGTTCTTCCAAGAAGATAACAAAGAATTTGAGCAATTGAAGATTTCAAGTTATTGATGTTAGAGTTTGCAAGGATTGACTGTACAAAACTGAAATCAAGCAATTATCAAGTGTCATCAAATATTGGCCCCCAAAATATCAATTCCGGGTAGAAAATTAACCCTAGGAAGCAAACTGATCAGCCACAACAAGGGGGTTTTTGATAGTTTTATAAACATCTGGCAAAGCAAGGTTCATTATTAAGATAGGCCTCCTTTGTGAAAGAGTGATCATTTTGACAGTTTGCACTGACAACCCGTTGACCCAACCAGTGGCAGCTATTCACCATTAAGAACTGTCGTGAGGGGGGGGGGGTTAAAACATCTCCCTGAAGGAATGGGGTTATGTTATGCTTAAAAATATTACACAAATTACTGTTATTATTTGGCAAGGCATAATCACCTCTTATGTCCCTAACAATTTGTCACAACTAAGCTTACCCTATATGTGAGCAAGTGTAAAAATCTAGAAACTCACTGTAAAATCCTTGTTATGCTTGGCAAACGAAGATGACAAGTTGGTCAAGACGGGCGTAGTGGATGTAGGAGTGTTTGTGGTAGAGGAAGGCTCGGAATCCGAACTCACAGACTTCTCACTCTTGATAGTAGGGGTCGAGTTAAGGGTCGAGTTAAAGGTCGTGTTGGCAATCTTGGGTTTTTTAACTGGAGCCCGGCCTCGTGGTCGACCTTTTGCCGGCGCTTTACGTTTGGATCCAAATCCTTCGTCTGAGCCTTCCTCGTCCGTTGAACTGGCGTCCACTATCGGGGCACGAGATTTTGGCAGGTTCCTAAGCCTAGTGGATGTACGTCTTCCGCTGGAATTCTGAAAGAAATATTTAACAATTGGTATAGGTAATTTATTTTAATTAGGTAATATGACTTTCTGACTTTGTTCTGGAAGAAACATTTATATTGGCAAACGGTTAGGTTACAATGTTAGCAACAAGTAGCAAAACAGTTTTACTTAACAAACGTTAAATGAACTATGCCAAGACCAATAACTGTGTATCATAACCAAATGATAATAGGTTTTTTTAAAGCCTACCTATATTTTACCTAGGCTTATTTTAACAAATATAAAAATGATATAATTTTGAAGAGTAAACCTTATACATTGCAATGTTTGCTCGACAATATATTCAAAGTATACAAAGAAGGTAACTCTTGAATTTTTATTTACTAAAACTTAATAGGCTAACCAAATATTCATAATTCCAAGTCCATTGAAATAGAAGGTGTAACCTACAGTAAGTGAATTTGGTGTCTGTAGTAAAAAACAAAAATCAATTCTGAGAAAGTTCAGATTAGTATGGGTTTAAATTAACAAGTTGTCTCTTTAGACTACTGTAAAATGGTATTAGAATCAGTGCCGGATTTACCACTAGGCCGATTAGGCCACGGTCTATGGCCGCAAGAATAAGAGGGCCAGAGATGATTGCCAAAAGACATTTTTTTCAGAACGAGCAAATCAGTTTGCCGCGATCGAAGGTGACAACAATGAGGTCCCTATGATTGCGGCCAGAGGGAGTTGTTCACGATTTCGCCACATCCGCGGGAGATGTTCACCATTTTGCAGCGGTCGTGGGTTTAGGTGACGATATTACCTTGATTAAGGTTTTTTAAGTGTTCACGATAACTCCGCGATCGTGGGTGTCGATGTTCCCGTGATTGCGGCCCACGAGAGATGCTCACCACTTTGCCGTAGTCTCGAATGTCGAAGATGATGTCCCGTGACTGCAGCCCGTGGGAGATGTTCAAGATTTCGCTGCGGTCGTGGGTGACAATTATGATTTCCCGTGATTGTGGTCCGCGGGAGATATTCATGGTTTTATCCACGATCAAGGGTGAGGACGATAATGATAATGATGATGATCGTGGGAGACTTTCACGATTTTACGGCTATCGCAGGGGATTTCCACCGCAGGGGTGGGGCCGCTCAAGTAATTTTGCCTAGGGCCACAATATGTCACTTAAATCCGGCACTGATTAGGATCTGTGAATTTTAATGGCTTTGCACATATTTGTTTCGCCAAGATTTTATTTTAGGGTCATTACACGAATGTTAATACGTATTAAACTGTAACTTACAAAAAATACAACTAAGCTTAGTAGGCCTATCTTGAGGCTTCTTGAGTATTTAAGTTTTCTATCTACCATTCACTAATCTGTTAAGGTTTTCCCCCAAATCATTTGACAGCAAAAATCAACTACAAGCTGCTTTCTTACATCTCTGTCTGGAGTCCAGTCGTCATCAGATGCATTATTTTGAATTTCCTCTGGCTCGTCTACATCAAACTCGTTTTCATCATCAGAGGCTCCACCATAGCTTGCTTTCTTCTTCATTTTTGTGGAAAAACTACCGGTAGTGGTCCTGAAAAATATTCAATAAGCCTATGTATCTGAGCCTTTCACTTTACATTGGCACATAGGCCTGGTACAAATTTAAACACCGTCTCTAGCTTAATTGTTAAATAAGTGGTTTAGATCAGGTACCTAGTTATATAAAATAATAAAATTATAATAATCGTAGAAATGCAAATCATTACCTATATTGTTACAATAAACAGCAATAAGCAATGCTGTATCGTATATTCCGTCCTGAATATGAATGATAGATAATTACACATAGCCTATAGAGTGGAATGACAAATATTTTGTGGCTTTGATACAATGTAAGACCAGCTTGTTTTAGCTATTGAATTTATTATTGCCCAATAGGCTAACGAAGGATAGGTACCTGGGTCCTGTCTTTTTTTAATAAATAAGTGTCTATGCATGTGGGGTTTTATTTGAAAGCATCGCTTAATTGCTTTGAAGGGAAAGGCTGTTCAAACTCCTACAAACAATCAAATTGAACCGTAAAATTTAACATGGATGGATAAAATGGATTGCAGGATTTGAAGCAGCAAAAGCAGCATACCGGTATCTTTTACTAAACTTAGTAGAATCACACATTTGCTATGATCTTCTAGTATGGGGAGGAACCTCGGCTTACAATGTCAACCGAATTAGATTTTACACCCATCCTCCATCAGAAGAAAGCTGTCAGAGCCTTGGCAAACCTTGAACCACACCAAACCTGCCTACAAGCGTTTAAAGATCTGTAAATAATGACATAAGAAAATACACGATAATATACTGCATGTGGTCAGACTTGAACCACCAAGAAACAGAGACTTTCATTCCTACAACAGTCAGTTGTCATGGCTCCAAGCTTCGAAACAATTTACCAACATCCATGAAGAACTTTACTTGGGACAAACTGAAAAGATTCAAAGATGTGGCTGATGGGAAGACCATTTTACACATTGAACGAATTCCTGGAGAACAGCAGAGAACTTCAGTAGAAGCAGCCTATTGTAATTCTTAATGAATGTGTGTAGCAGAACTGGGCAGAGGTGTTGGAATAGGATCCAGAGTTTGGAGATTATATTATTAGGCCTTTGGAGATGAACTTAAAGAGTCTTCTTCACCCCTATGAAAACAATAAAAACATGCCTTGGACGTCCCTCGCTCTGGATCGAATGTGTAAAGATATAATATTAAAACATTTCCCCCTTACGGATTAGTGTTGGTTCTAGGGCCCTCATACATAAATCCAAGAAAATCAATAGTACAAAAAAATCTTACGTAAATTGAGTAATTTTTAACACTAATACACTAATTTTTTTTTCACTAATTTTTTTTCATTTTCAATTTTTTGAGGTATAAGAGCTCTAAATATAACTATTCAACTACATTGATAGGTACCAAATTTCAAGAACATCTGTTGAAAAACGGCGTCCAAAACGGGGGACAAAATTAACATGTTTTGTCAGAGGCTACTGCGCTACTAGTCTTTTACTAAACTTGGCTAAACTAGGCACCAACGTGTCATATCCCCAAAACGCAACTACACCAAGGGTGATGAAGACTCTTAATATTGTAATTGCAAAGAAACTAACTTAGTAGGCTAGTACAAAACAATAATATGCCTAGTTCTCTTATATGAATCAGAAAAATATAAAATAATTTACAAAAATTTAAAGAACCTAACTTAGGTAACTTAAGTTATTTGACAATCAAGTAAACTTGCTGCAAAAAATCTATGGACCTATGTGAACAAGGGGATTGGAGAAGAAGAGGGAGATAAGAAAACTTGACAACAGCAAAGATGTAGCCTAATTGGAGAATTTAAGTACGGTAATGAAGAATCAAATGGGGCAGGCATGTAGGCCTACTGGAAAGGAATTTAAGGAACGTTGACTGAAAAAAGTTTTAAAGAGCAACCCTGGTGGAAGACGACCTCCAGGTTGTGGAAGCAAGTGAAACCCAAAGTTTATAAAAAGAATTGGAACAGTGGAGGAAGGTACAATGGAACGGATAGGGCATAATGTGGCAAAGTTGTTCGGTAGGTCTACAGCTAAATATCGCCGCCAATATAAATGACCCTGGGAATAAGTAAGAAATTATTGCAAGTGAGTCCCCTGCCACTTTCATTCTCATTCCTAATACTCTAGTCTAAGTTAGGCCTAAGAACTTTTAGCCTGGTAAAAATTATACTTAGTTTCCGACACATCAACAACTAGGCTATGACAACTAAGTAAATAATAAAATTGTCTCACCATTTTAAGTTAATGTGGCTTTTCAATAGAAAATGACAAACTTAGGCTTAAATTAGGCTAGGCCTTGTTATATATTTTCTATTTGCATTCCTCAACAATCATATGTTATTTTAAATATTTATTATTCCTGATGTTTTTACTATTGTGATTTATCAAAACATTGTTCTCAATACAAGACTCATTACAACACCATCTTGAAATAATTTATTCTAATACTAATTATCTAATATTACTTCAAGTATTCTAAAGTGGCGACGAGGAAAACTGCAAGATGGACCAGGAACAATTTCAACTATTTCTACAAACACTTACAACGGCTCTTCAAGGTATGTTTGATTCCCAACCATCAAAGTATTTAACACTGATTTCAAATTTTGACAAGTTTGACTGTACACAAGAAACGTTTTCTCTATACAAAGAGAGATTCGAAAACTACTTAAAGTTGAAAAACGTTTTCTCAGACAAAGATCTCTGTGCCCAGATATTTATTAATAGTCTAGGCTCTTCTGGCTACGACTTGTTGTCTACATTATCGTTGCCAAATAAGGTAACTGAGCTGAAGTATGAAGAGCTTACTGCCTTAATGACAAATCACTTTCCTGCTCAAAACGAAATTGTCGAACAACACAAATTCTTTTCTCGGGTACAACATTCTGATGAGTCAATTTCCAGTTATGTCATGTCCCTCAAAAAGCAAATGTCGACTTGTAATGTTGCCTGTTCTACTTGCAACGCTTCTGTTTCTGACTTATTCCTCAGGGCACAATTCATACGAGGAATTGGGGATTCTTCCATAAGGGAGAACCTTCTTCAACAGAAGGATCTAACTTTTGACTCTGCTGTAACACGAGCTTTAGCAATTGAAGCTTCAAAGCTGAATTCCAATGCCATAGACGAGTTTTCGCAGCAGTCACAACCGTCTTACAGCAACGTAGGTGTCAACAAGGTGGCAGTACATTCGAAAAGGCATCGATCGTCAGCTAGATTCAGCCATCGTTCGTCAGGCGAGAGCAACAGTCGTTCTTCCGACAGCAGTCGCAACAGCTCAATTTCTTCTGCTACACTACAAGGACATTATCGGCGCAAAGAACGAGTTGATTTAATTGCTCTTGGCTTGAATGGCGTTTGTCTTCGGTGTGGCAAAAACAATCATACGTCACATCAATGCAGAATGCACAGATCTCGAGTCCGCTGTAATGCATGTAACAAAAAGGGCCACATTTCGAAGGTATGTATCAAGTCCCTACTATCTAAACAAAGTGGTTCAAAATCAATCAAAAACTTAAATCAAGATAATGATAACCAGTCCGTGGAGTCAGACGTTGATGATATTTATGGCATAGGTCAAATTGGAAACATTAATGACATACACCTGTCAGACACTGATAAGTTTATAACAACAGTTTTTATTAATGACCGGCAACCAAAGTTCGAGGTTGATTCAGGTTGCGCCCACACTCTACTTCCTAGAGGAGACTTAAAGCGTTTAAACATTTCAATGGACACTATAATACCAACATCTGTCAAATTTCGCTCTTACACAGGGGAGCTACTTTCTCCGCTGGGCATTGCTTCAGTAAGAGTGAAAAGCAATGGGACATCCACCGTCGAACAGTTATTTGTTGTTCCTGACGGATACAGTCCTCTTTTGGGTCGAACATGGATACGACACTTGCAAATCAACCTAAGTAAGAAGAAATCAGAAAAGGATCTAAATCATCCACAGAAGATACATGTGTCAGAAAAAGCTAGCTGGAAAAAGTCTTCAACCAAAAAGAAAGAATTTAGTGAAAACATTGAAAATGCAGACTTGACATTTTTTCCTCCGTTCAACACTACCAGTTATTCGCCTACCAGTCATTCATCCACTAGTCATGCATCAACCAGTCATCAACCAGACACAAGTACATCTGTATATTATCGACCAACACCTTCACGACGACATAAGAAAGATCAAACGACCGACACGATACACGCCTTGAACACTTCCTCAGTGCGGAAGAATCTGTTATATATTTTCTATTTGCATTCCTCAACAATCATATGTTATTTTAAATATTTATTATTCCTGATGTTTTTACTATTGTGATTTATCAAAACATTGTTCTCAATACAAGACTCATTACAACACCATCTTGAAATAATTTATTCTAATACTAATTATCTAATATTACTTCAAGTATTCTAAAGGCCTACAGCAAACAAATATTTGTTATGTAGGACTATAAAAAATAAGGGCTGCAGTTCCTTATAGGACCTACGATATATAATCGGCCAAGAATAACAATACAAAACTTGTTCGGTTCAATATATTGATGATATTAATTTTTTTTTTTTATAAACATTGATTTTAAAAATTGTTTTGTTTACATTTTTATTAATACTAGTGGTCGTCCAGTGGTCGAAAACTCAACCAAAACTATTTAATGTACAGGCTTCACTATTTTCACTCCACGCTGTAAATATAACATGTGATTGTAATTGCTTCTATTTGTTAGCGAATTTCCCATATAGGGAATAAGCTATTACCGTAGTACTCATGGTAAGACCTGGACCCGGGACCGATTTTTTTTTTTCGTTTTGAGGTCCCTAGAGGCCAAAAACACCATCCGTTCAAATTCATATATATATATATATATATATTTATTTATTTATATATATATATATATATATATTTATTTATATATATATATGTCCGTTAGCGCGATAACTCGAGCAAAAATGATCCGATTTTGATGAAATTTGGTACAAACGTGTAAACCTACGTTTATTCGAACGAGTTTGCGAACCAGCATGATCGGACCATGGGAACAGGGGTTTATGGGGGCTTTTATGGGGTAAAAATGGGTTTTTCCTATTTTTGACCCAAAAAACATAACATTTTGAAATTTCTTTCCAAACTATTTTGTAGAGCTTAAAAAAACAAATAATTTAGTATATTGAAGCGTTATAATGCGCCTAATGGATACGGAGAAAATTCCAAAAAATTGTTAATTTAAAATTCCCATGTTATTCTTATGGAGAATAAGTAAACCGTTGTAGTGTGCTTGTTTATTAACATATTTTGCCCAAATTTGGAAAATGTTTTTATTTCTTACTAACTATTAACATTTTACATAAAAAAACACTTTTACCCTCCCTGTTGCAGCAAACCTAAGTATGTGTTAAACTGATTCTATTTAAATAGGGAATAAATGTGATATTTTTAAGGAGACATTTTAGTCTAAATCCAATCAGGCAAATGGAAATTTGCTTAGTCTGCAGGTTTGCTGCGGCGGGGGTATTTTGATTTTCTGTTTATATTTTGTCACCAGCATGGCAACCCATTTAAGACCCATGTTAATTTTTGTTTAATTTCAAATTAATTTTTTGTGCTTACTTATTAATATATTAATAAGTTATTTAGATATACAGGGTGATTGAAAAGTAACTGACACCCCCCCCCCTTAACTTTTCAGCCATTTGAGTTTGAAATCTGTTTGCGGCAACCTTCTTAGATATGAGGGAGAGGGGAGAGGAGCTACGATAACTATATGGTCCAATTTTGAAAATTTTTCCTTTAGGGGTAGTGGGGATAGGGAGTAGCTCAACACTTTCAAATGACAAGTATAGTCGAGCTTGGTAGGCTATAATTTTACAGGTCTTGACGAAACATAAAAAATTGACATAAAGAAAACCAAAATCGGCCCACTAATAACAAAATGGAGCCCTAAAATGTCTCAAATCCAAATAACCATGAGGGTGGCAAAAAAATTCACTTGCACCCCCTTTAACTTTTTAACTAGCCTATGTATTTGAGATATTTGAAATCGGTTTGCAGCAACTTGTTTGGATATGAAGTGCTACAATAATTAGGCTACCTATGGTCAGTTTTGAAAACTTTGCCCTTAGGAGTAGCAGGTAGTTCAAAATTTTCAAATAGCAAGTGTGAGTGTAGGGGTCCTGGCTACTTGTCGTAAATTCAAGGGCCATATTTATATAATCCAGCCTAATCCAACCTAACCTAACCTAACCTAACCAAACTTCTATAAGCGGATTAGGGCCAGAGGTGGCCAGTTCTCCGTTTCCCAGCAAGTGTATAGTCGAGTTTGGTATCATTTTGCAGGTCTTGACGAAACATAACAACTAGCCTAACATAAAGAAAATAGAAATCGGACCATTAATAACAAAATGGCAGTTCAAAATTACTCTTAATAACCATTGTCTTAATCATTTTTAGCTGCCATTTTACAAAAATTAATCAAAAGTTTCGTCAATGTTATTGTTTCTTTTTTTTATTACTATTTAACCCTAGATCTGGCGGTCATATTATTCACCAGTGGCGGGTATATTTTGGTACTGGTACCATATATTTTGCCACAGAACATTTATTTGTGAATATAAGTAGGCCTACACACATACGTATATTTTCTGTTTCAGTGATAAATGTAGAATATATTATAATAATATAAAAATAATTATTTCCTAGCAATGCGTTTAGGCGTACCTAGTAGCAAAATGTTTGCAAATTTTTGGTTTATGCAAATTAGAAATTTCAAAAGCAACCCATAAGAAAACTACAAAATATTTGTTTACACATTATCTGAATATAAAGGTTGTGTGAAATATGATTCCCACGTAGAAATCAATGTTTTTTTTTTTAAATAAGTAGGTATAAACTTAGGCCTACTCATATAAATAAAATTAGGTATAAAAAATAAATTCTACATAAGTTAGGCTAAGGTAAATAATTTTCCTTTTTGAAAAAATACCAAATTTTGTTGTCACCTAGGAAATAATAGAATGCATCAACAGAAAATAAAATGACACTGTAGGCCTACAATAAGGGAAATAAAAGATCTTTCTGAAAATATATAGTTAGGTAGGCTATAACTTTAGTTGAATTCTAACATTTCTGAGTAATTTATGTCGGAATGATTTTTTTTACAAAAGCATTAATTTTTATTACATTTTTAAAACAAAAACAATTTCACAATCAACCTCATAGATTCAGAGGGACTTGTAGGGAATTTATTGTAGTTTCAGAATACGGTATGTACTAATATTGTATACAATTTAATTGGCAATCGCCAAAAACAGCTGTTCTTGTAGTCAGGTGACCAAAAATTTCCACCGCCAAAAACTATTTTGAACTCTCTAGTTTTTCAAACTATGTTTCTCGCTACATAATACTCACTCAATAATGTTTTATGCATGAAAATGAATCTTCAGAATCATATCTTTCTAATGGTAACTTATAAAAGATTTATTGTTTTAAAGTGGTTTTCATATTTTAATAATAGAAAAACCCGACCCATGTTGTCTTGATCGATAATCGACCAGCGCCACTGAAAACTCACGTCTAAGTGGTCGAAAATCGGCCAGCGCCAGATGGAGGGTTAATATCATTATGATACAAATGAAATTATTACAAGCCGGATAAAAATTGATAAGTTTAAACAAGTTATATCGTCTAGGCCCTATTCGGAACAGCAGCCAAAATAAGGACTTCTAAGAATAAGGTTGAGTCCAGTAGTTTTATCCTAGGCCTAGGGTATATTCTTAATTAGGACTAATTAATTGATATTTCACTTAGCAGCCAGTGTAGGCCTAGGCCTACTCATGTACTGACTGTACATTTACTTAATATTTCTAGCCGTTTGATGATTTATGCTATGTTTAGTATTAAAGTAAAATAACCTTTCCTAAAACAACGGGATCAACTTAAGTCAGCTTGATTATAAACCTTTTTATTAGGCTATAAGCCTAATAGGATTGTTGATGCCAGAGTCAAGTCCTAGGCCTAAACTTAGCCTACTCCTACTTAGCCCTAGTCCCTACACAATTGGATGATATAGTGCACAGTTTATCACTGATAAACTAAACCTTTATAATAAAATAACCACTTTATACTCAAGTTTAATCAACAAAACATTATAAGTCTTAAAATGTTGGACTTATCAAATGTAATTTATTTAGAATTTGTGTAACTGGAGGGAAAGAAGGTCTTCCAAAATGGTATCCGTACCACAAATATGGAGTCCCATTAGTGATGGAGAAATAAAACAGGTTTTCGTAAATCAATCTGTTATTAAATGAAAAATATTGTGGTAGATGTTAAAATCAAATTTAGTGTAATAATTCATACATACAGACTATCTTTTTTGCAACATAATAAGGAATGTTTACCTTAAATGTAAAGTCAATGTCAGCGAAGCCGTCTATACAACCACGGGCGAGCGGCAAAATCGGAGGGAGGGGGAGGGGAAGGGTAGCGGGGTCGGGGTGGCTTGGTTGGTTGGTAGGCCTACTGTTTTCGAGTGTTTGGTAGACGAAGTTTTCCCTGATTTACTGTTGCTAGTTACGCCGCCATGCTTCCATGCTTGCGCTGATGCTCCAGTTCAGTTTATGGACAACGTGGTCGGTTTTGTAATTTTCTCTAATCAACATAATTTTTATGGTGGTCGACATTCGACAACTTCTGAAATAATATAACAAAAATTGTGGTGAAATTCATCAATGTTATTCTATTCATTACCTTGAGGAGTATGTTTTATCTATGTCATTACTAAAAAAAAATACATAGTGAATGTGATGTGGAAAGCGAAAAGGGACCTCTTGTCGGCGATGCAAAATTTTCAGTACGGCCAATGAAGTAATTAAGGTCAAAAATATCAAAATTCGGGTTTTTATCGATTGGTATACCTCATTTAACATAGAACAGGACAGTATCGGTTAAAATAACGAATTGAAGTTGTAAAAGGTCGAAATAAATCATGTTGTTAGCCTCTGCACGGTCCGAGAAAAGGGACCTCTTGTCGCTCAATGTTATTTCGCCATAACGTCAAGAGGTCCCATTTCTAATATTCACTTTATAAACAAACTTTAGTCCAAAAAATGAATTGTCCTGCATTCTAGTGGAAATTTAGAGAACTACAACAAATTCAGTTTACGGAGAACAAAATATCTCTCAAATTTTGCAGTCCCGACAAGAGGTACCTTTTCTTATCTTATGGAGAAATAACATATGGCCGACAAGAGGTCCCTTTTCTGAAGTGTGATTTTTACGACATGCTTCGATAAAACAATTATTTAAATTAAAACTACCGTGAGTTAAGACAAAAATTGGTATTGCCTCCAAGGAGGACATTATATATATATATATATATATATATATATACTTATTTAATACGCAAGCAGGATTTTTGTGACAATTACTCCTCCGAAACTACTGAACCGATTGTCATGTTTTTGGTGTCATTGGAAAGAGCGTAGCGTGAAGTTGTGCAGGAAACTTTCTTTTTAGGGAAATAATGAGAGAGTGAGGCCCTGGAGCCCTTTAAAGTTTCGTATTTCCCCATAAGATTAACATTGGAAACAAAAATTGTTATGAAACTCCAGCTGTTGTCAGAAATCAAAAGTGAGAAGAAGAGCATAGGTTAATCCTAAACAGTCAAAAAGTTTGCTGATATAGTATTATAACAGTTTGCTACAAATATTTACTTAGGAATTGCTCGAATTCGAGCAACAGGGACACTAGTACTTATTAAATACGCAAGCAGGAATTTTGTGACAATTACTCCTCCGAAACTACTGAACCGATTGACAAGTTTTTGGTGTCATTGGAAAGAGCGTAACGTGAAGTTGTGCAGGAAACTTTCTTTTTAGGGAAATAATTAGAGAGTGAGGCCCTGGGGCCCTTAAAAAGTTTCGTATTTCTCCATAAGATTAACATGGGAAACAAACATTGTTTTGAAACTCCAGCTGTTGTCAAAAATTAAATATTAATAATTGGTCTCCATGGAAGCATGAGAAAATTAACAATGTTTACATTTGCTTTGACATTTAAATGTAAACAACCAGAACTGTCAAATGCCTATTTCACAATTTTAGGCAGCTGATAACAAAAATAAAACAAGTATGTGGTAGGTTTATTTAATCTTAAACTTTATGATAGATTATTATAAATCTATTTCAATAATTAATTATGAAACAAATTTTTCCTGTTGCGAAGCAAAAATTAATAGTGAGAAGAAAAAGATATGTTGTAAACAGTCAATGTGTAAATTATCGAAGTTGTATTAAAAATGTGTATAGTTTTGGATGTTAGTTTGTGTTTCATGATATAAGTTATTAATTATTGAATTTTTATTAATGATATAAGTTAGTTATTAAATTTTTATTTTAAGGATTTGGCATATGACTAAGCCTATGATAAATAACACCATTTCAGATTTCTGCCAGTTTTTGCCTAACTCTGTCCTGTAGAGTTTAAAGTAGCCTACACCTTATTGTCTACAAATTGGCTAAATAACTTAGGTACGGTACTTAATAAAATCTGACAGCCTTTTTACATTGACCTTAAATTGCAAGCTTACCTTTTCCCGTCCATGGGCAGTTTGATTGTTAAAAATTCACCCTTTAAAATGGAAAAGGACTGTTATGTAAATTGTAAGTATTTCCATTGGTTGATAATATTTTAGTTGGCTCTTTTGCTCTTTTAAAATCATTGGAAATTATGACTGTTATAAGTTTTCAACCAAGTTATTTGTTTTTAAATAACTCCTGTACTTCTTTGCAATTGCTCGATTTCGAGCAACATGTACACTAGTATATATATATATATATATATCAAAATCGAAGACTCCCAACAAGAGGTCCCTATTCGCTTTCTACAATTATGATTTCAGAAACCCACTCTACCGACAAGAGTTTTTTTTTATATCAGATTTCAATGTTTAGGCCTATGTAGTACTAATCACCCTGATAGTAGGGCACATGGTTGAACAGCGGGGCTAGTTCACGAAAATCTTTAAACAGTTTGAACCATCTAAAACACAAAATAATTTTCTACAAGCTACCAGCGTAGTTTTAGAGGACGGGAATGACATTTCTCTGACACTGTCAGCTGTCTATTGTCCCCCACCTCGCACAATTTATATTTTAGGATTAGTTTTTCCAACAGTGTCATTTGGAGGCTTCTGATTGACTATAATGAAGGTTTACTAATTAAAAAATTAGTTTTGTTCATAAAATAAAATTATAAATGCCTCAAATTCAATTTTATGATTTTTTTATTGTGAAATCAAACCGTCATAACCTAACCAAACTAACCAGACTTGCTGATAATGCAAAATCTAATGAAGGTTTAATCGAAATAATAGTTCTCATGAAATAAAACTATAAATGGGTCAAATTCAGTTTCATAATGTTTTAATTAGAAAAGTAAACTGTCATAACCTAACCAAACCAACCAAACTTGCTGATCATGAAAAAAATCCAAGACAAAAAATAGTGCCGCGGGTGGGATTCGAACTCGGCTCCTTCAGTTTATCAACCCGACACTCTATCCACTATATCACCGAGGCAGCATATGGTATCAAACCGCAGGGCCAGATCTAGACAATTTTTGAGTGGGGGCAAACTAAAATTTGTCCCCCCTCCCCCCCCTGTAGTCTACTGGGTGGGAAAATAATATACCCCATCTGAAAGCATTCGGAAATAAAGTTTTATTTATCGGTTAAGAAATAGATCAGTAATAGTTTTTCAGGTAGCAAGGCTAATAAACGTTTTTAATGTTCATAAATTGGAAAACCCAATTTTTACTTTCTTCCCTTATACATAGTACAGTACCTATACCGTATGGAGAAAGTATTGTATTCAAAATCTTCCAGTTTGAGTTTTGAGTAGATCCGTTTTGGGTCTCCCTGAACCAAAAAAGTGGTTTTTGAAGTGATGTGTGTCTGTATTTTTTTTTTTTTTTTTTTTTCTTATTCTGAGCTCTTAAGGCTCAAGGCTTGGATAATTGCTCCACGCAGCCTGTTCGATGTCTAATGTTAACTATTACTCACTGAATCCTTCTGTGGTTGTCTTTGGGCATTTGACACTTTCTGTAACAAAGGTTAGGTTATGTTAGTTACACAGTTTACAATGTGTGTCTGTATGTGTGAATGTGTACAGAGCTACAGAACAGACTACACCAGCTGTAGTCTGATTTTGTTGAAATTTGGTATGCAGGTTTAGTAGGTACCGGTACTAATTCATGGTATCTCCAGGCGTTTTTCATGTTTTTGAAATTTAGATTTTTAATGGTGATTTTCCCATAAAACAACAAAAAAATCAGATTTTCTTGAAAATGGCCTGAACCATTTTGATAAAACTTTAGTATGTTATAACTTTAGTCCTTTATATTTTGAACAAAATGGTTCAAATCCCATTTCCATAAAAATTACGGTTAAAAAGTTATTGTAACTTATGTTATTTTCTCATAAAACCCCCATAAACAAATCTGATTTTAGGAAAAAGTCGATTTTGATTAAAATTAATGTGTGATGGTCCTTATAATAAAAAAAGGTGCAATCCCCCATTGCTGTAACGTAGGCCTACGGTTCAAAGGTTTTTGCAAGTTTTGTGATTTTTCCCTATAAAATAGCATAGTTGCTCCCTCCTCTTACCAATGATAAAGGTTGTTGACAAGCTTATGGGAGAAAGTATTTGTCAGATTGCTGATATGGTACCGTTTATTATCTCATAAATCCCTGTTCCCATAACCCATCAAATTGGGCCAGTGCCTAACAATTCTTTTTTTATTACGGTACTGTATGGCTGGACTTTGTTACTACAATTAATTAGGGTAGGTACTTAAAAGAACTAAGTTACAAGGAAGCTTTTGGCTTAAATAGGCCTAACAAAAACAAATATAAATCCCTAGGCCTACAGTACTTTTTTCCTACCACTGCATGAAATTGATCACATTGCTACGTACCCACGGCCGCCTTTAACTACAGGCCAGTGTTTCCATCCGCAAGAAAAAAATATCCCTGGGCCAACGTCAAAAAATCCCTAGTTATCCCTAGTCCGTGTTCTAATAATCCCTCCAATTATCCCTCTTCGTCAAATCTAGATAACTTATTATTTTTGCAGCAATACTAATGGATATCATGTATAGCCACCTAAAATATGGTAACTGGTGATAGTATTCTTCAATATCCCATATTATTTATAAAGTAATACTATATAAACAAAACATTTTTGTACCATTAAAACCACGGCCATCTTTAACTCCAGGCAGGCCGCGGCCTGGTAGAATTGGCAACGTTGCAAGTACCGTAGTATTGTTTAGCGCAAGACGTACTATAAGTTAACATGGAAATAAAACATAATATAAAATCGAAAACCAAAGCAATATAAATTGAAAATCTATTTCTGTACATTCAATGTGGAGTCAACATTTTCATAGCCCAGTAACCAAGCTTTCGTATTCTTA